TCTTTCGAATTTTCGCTAGTCTCACGAAACGAACTTGCCTCTGTAGCAACCCGTTACATAACTCAATTCTTCGTTCCCTTGCGACTTAATACCCTCGCATCAAGTTCCATTCGTAACAACGAAGAATCGTCCGACTGCATCAATTCGTCAATTAAATCGTTAGAAGAAGAAACCAGTGACAACGTGAACGCGGAACCGAATTTTATATTCTCGTTAAATAACATGGGAACTTTCGAACTAGAAAACAAGTGTTAGGAAAATAAATAATTTTAAGAATTCTCGGCTGTCCGGGAGACGCCGCGTCGTTGGCTGGGGTGCCGACGTTTCGCCCGACATTTCGCAGGCTTCCTCAGGGTAGTGTTTCCCTGTCTCCCGGACAGCCGAGAATTCATGAATTCGAGCCGCGGAAGCTTACGTACACAAAAAATAATTTTAAGAATCATCCGGAAGCATTTCCAAAAAAAGACACAAACATTTAGAAGGAAAACTTAAAAGTCAGGAAAATACACGGAAAGCCAATTGAATATAGGCAACTGTAGCTTTTCAATTAAGTTGGAATTTCGACAAAGCAGGTGAACCAGTGGGCAATGAGCTCTGGAGAACACGGCGAATTAAAAGAAAAAAATTCAGAACCTCTGAAAAGTGCCAAATCAGAATAGAGGTAACGAAAATATAAAACGTTCCAAAAAATCTCAGTGACAGAGGAAAGCGAGCGTATTTATTTTGTTGAAAAAACAATCGAAAGACTAGACTGGAGAAGACACGGAAGGCGGATAGATGGCGAGCCGATAATATGGCGTGACACGTGTCGGCAAGTTTTCGTGTCTTTTGAGGAGAGTGAATTTTCTCAGAGAAAGGATCATGTGGTGACGGTAGTAATAAAGTGTGGGGAGCCAGAAGTAGGGCATTTTGCGTAGGGTAGTTTGCGTGAAACGCATTGGATATGTGAAAAGTTTGGAACGACGAGCCCAGTTGAGGGAAGGAATAGATTGGCAAGCAGACGGCAATAATATCGACTAAAGGGAAGTGAACATACGGCAGATATTACCCGCGCGTACGGGACACATTTTATAGAGAGGCCACGTATTGTATACGATTTTTGTAAAACTGGAAATTACGTAGATGGCCTTTACAACTACGACGTGCAGGGTGCCAATGTGCAGAGCGTTAACAGTTTGACAGTAAGTGTGAATGTTGAATTAGATGATTTGTTATTGTAAAAAGAAAAAAAAATGTTTTTTGTATTTGTATGTGCTGATTTTATCGACTGCGTCACGGAGGAAAGTGGTGACGGGACGAGTTAAATAACAAGGGGCGCCGAATAAATAAAGTGAATACGGTGCTGAATGTAAATTGAACAATGTTTATTTCTTCTTTGGGTTGTAAACAAAGATAATTTCCCCGCCCATTACCAATAGATAATGAGAAATATCATTTTCCCTACCCTGTACAGGAGGAAACTTCAGTCCTACGACCCCATGATAAATTTTCCAATGGCAACGTCGCTCGCACCGGAAGAATTATTAGTTTAAAATTTATAATAGAGAGCATGGAAAGCAAGGTAATACGTAAATCTGGTAATGAAATAATTGTAATAAAGACAGAGGCGCGATCACGACGTGGCAGTTAGTAGTGATGAATGGGAATGTATTAAGCGCAGGACTGGCTATATATTTTTTTCTTTTAATATCTCTGACAACCCCTCCAACTATTCCTCATACCTTTCCATTATTCATTACCCATTTTCAATTAAAATGTATTGAAATTGTCAGAACAAATGTCGGTAGCGAATAATTCATATTTTCTGAAAGTCGCACAGAACGACGGATTAGGCCGATCCAAAGGCGTGTTGCGCCATCAGTCGTCAGAATTATCAAGCGTCGTCTTTTCGATGTTAGCGTTGGTTTAGTAATCACAGAACACGATTTCTTCTTGTCGAAAGCACGTTCACGCACTAAGAAAGACCACGACTGTCACGAGCGTGCTGCCTGGGAGAATAATGATGGATGGGTGGGTGAGTAGGTGTTTGGGATTGACTTTAGCGTACTGGAGTTTTTTTCCCCCTCGAAACTCCCAGGTTCATGACAGTGGCAGTTTATATAAGAAAAAAATGTGGTTTCGCAGTATGAAAAATAATAAATAATAGTTGAATAATATAAAAAATACAATATTATTTTCATAAATGGATAAAAATACATTTTACTTTCTCGTCCTTACGAAAGTACTTTGTGAGACGACATAGTTATTTAATCGTGCGGCGAAAAACGGTGATTTTTTTTCACTTGTAGCCACTTCAATTATTTCGCTTCCATGATAAACTTATTTTACATCTGCAATTAGAAAGTACGTTTTGAAATTGAAAATGTTTTATATATTTTTAGGGTTTTTTTGTAATATGAATTCAATTAAAATAGTTTATGTATTTTAATGCTCCAAAAATTATAGAATTTTTTTCACCTTCAGGGGATGCCGATTTCCGACTATCCACTCTTCGGTTTGTGGTCAATAGACTTACAAGGCCTTCCGCGACAACACATATTCATGAAAGACAAAGAATAAAGAATGATGCCCACGGCGGGACTCGAACCCGCAACCATTCCGCCCGATGCACTGACTCGACACACGCTTTTGCCACCTCGTCCATCCAAGTAGACTAAAAAATAGTAAATTAAACATTGTATTCAAAAATAACTAGTAAATAAAATACTAATTATGACTAAACCTTGTAACTGGTTATTAATGGCTCGTAATTCCCAGGATTTTTAGTAGTTCAGCGATTTTTAAAATAAAATATTAAATATTCGTTAATATCATTACTATTATTGTTAATGGAATTATTGTTAACCCAGTAAAAACGGTTTCAGAGTTCTTTGTAACGGTTTCCTGACGCATTGGGCTGCATTGGGACGCATTGGGAGTTTCAACATTATAGTTTGTTCGTCTTGTAATATTCAAACAGGGAACACTTTCCTTCTACAATCTCATACCTCTTAAACACGATTCGATCGTGAGTATTCAAAACCACAAATGCTTTTTGGAAGGTTGGTCAATTCAATACACCTGGCTGTGAGGACTATGCCACCACTTTCTCGGCGCCCGTTCCGAATGGCCGTTCTCCTCCGTAGAAGAGCGCGGCGGCGACGGCGGGTCTCCGTGCGTCCAGGGCGCTGGACACGTCGGGGCTCGAGGCCGCGCTGCCATTCATCACACGGACGGGCACGCGACGGCGATGTGGGCGATGGCCGTTGCGGCGGAGGTGGTGGTAGTGTGGTGATGATGGAGGTGGTGGTAGTGGTGGTGGTAGTGGGGTGATGGAGGTGGTAGTGGTGGTGGTGTGGTGGTGTGGTGGTGGTGGTGTGGTGGTGGTGGTGGTAGTGTGGTGG